TGATTGATGTTTTACTTTATTGAAAACAATATCGATGCAATCCTAATATCATACACCACACCCATCCCTCCAAAATCACATCAAATTGAATGAATTAATTTATAATCATCATTATTAAAAAACTATTTATTGAAGAAAAGAAAATAAAAAATAATTTAAAGTTTGACAAAAATATCATTATATTTTTCTCCTTTTTATTACTTCTTACTTTGACTTAGTTGTCTTTCCTCTCTCCTCATTTCCTCTTTCTGTCTCTCTCTTTCTCCTGGAAGAGTTTAATTACATCAAAGGGGTTTTACCGTGTCGCAATAACGAGGACACTTTCCGTATCGTGTACGATTATTCGACCCCAGTTATGAGATACAGATTGAGTAAATAAGGGTAGATTGATGGTGGTGGAGAAAAAAAGGAATAAAAAATTATTTGAAAACTTAAAGTATACATAAGTAATCATATTGTTGGTTTAAAGAAAATTTTTTTATTTAAAAAAAAATCGAATAATCAATCCATGAAAAATATTAATTAAAGAAATTATATATATTTTTATTTAATTATTTGCAACAATCATAAACTATCGAAAATAACATTTTTAACTACAAATCATTCATGAATAAATGTTTTCTATAATGAAAAATAAAAAATACGAAAGGATTTTTTATCACTCTATCAATTATTAGTAAGTGTAATAAATTTGGTAAATGATTGGACAGAATATTAATCAAGAAATTAGATAATAGTTGACGCGACAATCTTATAAAACATTATTCTGCCTAAACTGTCGTAAACGGGAGGAAATGAAAAGAGCTGCTTAATAGCTTATGTATGCAAATATCATGAGAGCGGCAGATTGGCATGAGTGCTGCTATATACCTTAGTAGGATAGCTCATGGTTTTCGCTAACACTAGATGAATCGGTTCTCAGCAAGAAGGGGCCTTTAAAAGGGTTACTAATCTTTTGTCATGATTTCCATTATCCACCATATCCATACATATATACATCCCAATAAATATGAAAAAAAGGGTCAATAAGAATTTTATTTTTCCCTATATTAAGAGAAAAGTACCCATAAAAAGCTAAGATTGCCCATAAAGAAATTCAAAAAAATATTTTCGTAGCAATAAAAGTAAATAAATAGCGAGTAATTATTTCTTTCATTCCTAAGTACAATATTTTTAGGGGTAAACAGTAAATTTAACAGACCATTTAATTAACGCGGTACACGCACCCTTCGGATGCCAAAAAGAAGGACGTAAGTATTTTTTTTTCTTCTTGTAAAAAAGCACAAGGAAGAAAAAAGAAAACAATAACAATAAAAAAGATAGAAGAAGGAAAAAAATTCCGGACATTTCGAGGAGTAATTAAAAATGTTGCGTTAAATATGAGATGAAGATGAGGGGTAAAAAGGGATGAAGGGGGTTCTTTAATTCAAACCTGGCACCATATTTATGCTCTGACGTGCGATAATCCTCCTCTTTCTTAGACTCCGCACGCCACGCCTTGAGATTCTATAATTACTCGTTTAATTACCAAACCTGATGTACGACCATGATAGTAGGGCGCATTAATTAATTGACTCGAATCTGAATTTTTTTCATTATTTATTTATTTTTTATTATCATTATTGTTATTGATATCATTATCTATTTTCATTGATTCATTCATTGCTCTAAATTTTTTATTTACTCTTTACAAATCATTTCATTTTTTTAACTTAACATTTTAATTTATGTAAAAATTAATATTTTCCTCATTCTTGCTTATATTATTATTTATAAATCGAAAAACCGTAAGAATTTCCATGAATTAGCATGTCCATGTGCCGTACATTTCCTTATCAATGGGACTGTTCTGTCGTCAGGCTGAATGAAAAAAAGTTGAAAAGAAAAGCAAGAGGAGGAATGCTATAAACTCTTTAGACATTCTTTTCTTTTTTATTTTCGCCTTTTCTCAACGTATTTCTCGACAATTTTTCATTTCAAGCACTATTGAAAATAAATTAACGCTTTTCAGTGTCAATACAAATGGCTTTTACGTTTTACATTAAAATACAAAGTGAGTTAAACAATAAAATAATTATCTCATAAACTTTTAATTATTATTATTATTCAATTCAGAGACAAAAAATATTGTTATGAAATATAATATTTTATCACATAATCATAATTAATGATTAACGAGATTCAGACAATAATTTATTAATTTAACAAATAATTAATTTTGTGTAAATTAAAAGGGGGAAAAAAATTTTTTAAACTATTTACAATTTTATTAAATCAATAAAATATTCATTAAATCGTGAAATAAATTTATTTTAACAATTTAGCAACATATTTTATGAATTAAAATAATTTTTGTCCTTAATATATTATTTTATAAGGATATATTATTGATAAAAAGAAATAAAAATATTGAAAATTGATAGTAAATAGTTAGTTATTTGATAGTAAAAAAATGACCGTCGTCTATCTTGTGCTTTGACTTTGATTGTCCTGGGAGCGGCGTCCCAATTAAAGTGCCTTAATATATGCATCGAGTTCGTGTCTTGTGGTGAAGGTGTAAAGATAGAAGATGGTCACGAGGGCGCGCTCGATTCGCTTTGAGATAAGATGAAGAGAAAGACAGACACGAGTGATGTATCAAGTGATGGAGGAAGAGAGAAAGGAAAGGGGCAGAGGTGGATAAAACCAAAGCCAAATCCCTACGTGTCAATTCTCAAAGCAATCTGCCAATGCAGATTAGTAGCGATCCCCTCTTTACTTTTCTTTCTTACTCCAATGAGCTTAACTTTCTGTTACTTTGACTCCACATTATAAACTTCTTATACTCAACATTTGTCAAAGATCTAAGAAAGTAAGAAGTTAATTATTGAATTAAACAAATAAATAATCATTTATTTTCAAAAAATGGTAGATTTAACCAATTGAAAACTTATTTATTCTATAACTTGTGTGGTGATAAATTACACAAACATACTAGGGGTGAGTTTAACATGAAAAAGAATTTTTTTCGCCCTCCTTATGTTCCGCTAGTCTGTCTAAAATATATAAATATAGGGCGATGGGTAAACAAAAAGAAAAATAAAAAAGGGAGAAATGCAAAATATTTTTTCATCCTACACTTGAACACAAATGCGAGGAAATACATTAAAAATGTATTGGACAGTCGTAAATATTCTTTTTATTCTTGATTTTTCTACATTTTTCATTTCACAAGGGGAACACATGAATGACCCTTTTACTCAATCTTTTTGGTCAATTTTGTCACAAATAAATATTAAAATTCACCACAATATTTATTTTTTATTCATAAGTAATTTTGGAAGCTTTTTTATTATTCTTGGAGTAAATAAGGATATTGTTATCATTAATAACTTATCAATCATATCCGGAGATTGACTATACAAGTTGAAGTATCAAAGCCTTAGGTCGAGATTATGTATCTGTTTTCATGCCTGGGGCTTTAATTTTCATTCCCTACCTAATAATCTACGATCTTGTCACTTGTTTTGAACATTAATTATCTTAAACGATAAAAAAACATCGGGAATTTATTTAAATAAAAAACAAAATAGTGTGTAAATATTTAGCTGTTGAACAAAGTTAAATTAAAAGTAATGAAAAAGAATGAAACATAATAAAGGAGAGAAATATAGATCAAGAACAAGTTACGGAATGATATACATGAAAGGGGAAAAAATTGGAATGAAAGGAAGAAACGTCAACCAATTGTGATGGAATGAAATCAATGAACAATAACGATCAATCGATTCCAAGACAGTATATACCGTGTGATCTCGATCTTTGTCCATGATCCTGAGAAGAACGGCAGCGTCTGGCCTCGTTGAAATGGTTTCAGTGAAACAAACGAGTTCGATGACCCAAAGAGAGAAAAAAAAAAACAATTATTTTCTTCTTCTTGCATTTTACGAGATTTATTTGAGCTTATTTTTAGGAAAAACAAATAAAAAGGTTTTTATCACGGGATATTTTGATGATTATGATGATTTCTATACAGCAGTAGTATTACTATACAGAAGGGTAATCATGTATAGAGATTATTATCTTGATTATTGAAGCAACGATTATATTTGTCTACCGCAAAATTCTCATCTCATTTGCATTTTTAATAGAATTATTATTAGATGAGACCGAGTATCAGATGGAGATATAATAAGATAGAGTAAGAGGGTAAGCAAAAATAAAAATTTTCGAGTAACAAAAAAAGTATATGGAAACGAAAAAAGAAGATTAACAAAGTAAGTAAGAGGAGGAGAGAGAAGAATCCGAACGTTATTATATTTTCGCGATACACTCAGCTCAAAATCATAGAGTAGAGAAGCTGTTCGCCCGCACTCACCAGCTTCTCGACAAAAAGTTAATCGACGTGTGGTGTAATAATTACTTCGGGTACAGCTTCAGACAGATCGAGGGATGTATCCTGCTCTAACCTACCCTCTTTTTTCATTTCCTCCTCCTTTTTTTTCATTCATCTTAAAATTCATTTTTAATTTAATCAATTTCAATGTTATATTTTTTTCAAGATTAATTTCATATCTGTAAACTGCCACTATTTTTCTTTACAAACATTTCATTCTTATCTTTTAATTATTTTATTCAACAATTTCTCATTATTAATTATTTTACTTTTAAAAGTAATAATTATAAATAATAAATAATAAAAACAATATTGTAATTATTTTGCATTGATTATAAAAAATTCTAATAACAATAAATAATGATAATGTTTATTATTTTATTTATTAATATAACAGCTGTTAATTAAAACATATTAATTTATTTAAATCTAAATGAATTATTCTATTATTGAAATTTTTAAAATTTTAATTTAGAAAAATTTATAAAAGCTTCATTTTATAGTGTTGATAATTGTTATACAATTGTTAAATACTTATAGTTTAGAAATATATAATAAAGATCAATAATAATATGGAATGAGTGAAACACCATGCATTTAATTTAGATAAAAAATTTTATCCTACCTTTCAAATGCGTAGTGCCTCTCCTCAAATCTGTAACATATAAACAATTTCTTTTTTCACTAACCAAGATTCTACATAAAAATTTTACATAAAAGATAAATAATTATCTTTATAACAACAAAAACATAACAAACACAAATTTTCAATTGATGAAAAAAAAAATAAATACATCAAATTAAAAACAATAAATATATTGTAAATATGTTACAAAAAAATGGAACGATTATACAAAGTCAGGAGATAATTTAAGTAGTAAAGAAGTCTGAAAGAAGGTTGCAAAATGCACTTGTATGTCTTTCAGGTAGTTATAAAGAATGGGAATTCCTACAAGATAATAGAAGGAAGACGAAGAAGATGATCGGTGAGACTGCAAGAGAGCCTGTTGGATAGGCCTAATTTCACAAGAGCCCTCGTATTATACTCTGCGAATCAACTTTTCCAAAGTCTAATAAGCAATTTGGCGGAGAAGAAAAAGAAAGCGAGAATGGAAAAAGAAGATAGAAAAAGACAGAATTGCTGGACGAAATTGAGCTACGTCAAGTTCTCAAAACATTATCGTAATGAGGTCGTAAATAATCATAAATATTTTGCGTTATTTCTGGTACAGCTTATTTACTAACATTCTTTTATTTTCATTCAAATATTAAATTATTCATATCCATTGACATTATATCAAATGTTTAATTAAAATTACATTTTTTACATTAAACACTAGGGTTTTTAAATAAAGAAATAATTATTATTTTATTTATAATAAAGAAATAATTGAAAAACTAATTTATTATATTATAATGTAGGAGATAAAAGAGAGGATATATATGTGTGTTGACTGGATAATGGGTTAACTCTTGTAGCACACTAAACGTCTGATAAATAGAGACACACAGCTGATTTAATTTCCCGCGACGGTAATTGACGTTCAGTACGAGTGTCCGAGTAAGAGTACACGAGACAATAAGTTCAAGTATTAGCCTTAACATTTTTTTTTTTAGTCTTAATAATTCATAGGATTAAATATATATTACATTTAATTCAACAATAAACAATATTTTACTTTCGAAAAGGATTACAAATCATAAATCATCATTCATGATGCTTTAATTTTTTGGAGCAAATATTATAATTTAACTCTTTTGACTACCCCCCGGAGTTAACTTATGTTCACAAGGCGAGACAAATCCCATGACTTATATATAATAATATACTCACATCTCCCACTCATAATATTTATTTTATCTTTCTATACAATTCAATTAAAAAGGGAAAAAACATCTTCATTTTATCGAAATCGTAAATAAAAAATAATGGATATCTTTTGGAGAATTAGTCATAGAAGAAAGAAAGTTTGCGAGACGAAGAAATGTCTTCAAGGTTTAACAAAACCTTTATATATATATATATATATATATATATATATATATATGTATATAAATAAGAATGGTGAATAGTTCTTATCTCTCTGGAAGAGACACAAACGTGGTCGGTGTCGTTGCGAGTACAATGAGCCAATGGAATGCATTAATATTAATAGTTTTCGATTTTTTCAGTCTTTCCTTCTTCTCTTCGTCGTTTCCTCATTATCGTCTTTGTCTTTTTCAATAGCTGCATTTACTGTTGTTTTTTAATGCCTTTGCATCTTTCACCAGATAATATTTCAAGTTTGAATTTTTTAACATATTCTGTCTAATATAACTTTTTTTTTTGCCTTTGTTTCCTCTGTTAATTAAACTTTATTTTATTTTATAAATAAAAATTAATTATTTAACTAAACATTAGTTGGATAATTTTTAAAAAATTCGATAAATCTTGACGGTTTATATAAAATTGCACAGAATCATGGGTTTGAACTGAAACGATGTCTTGTATGGAAATTAAAATTCTTATATGATGTTGGAGACCGGTCCCATGAGGGTAAGATAATGATTTAATTCACACGAATTAGCATAGTTGTGACGATACATATACTGTTGATAAATATAATGTGACGAACAAAAATTTGCAATAAATTATTTCAAGAAATAATCATTTCAACAAAATAAATTTATTTAAATATAATTATTATTAATATTAATTTAAAATAATTAATTATAAATTTTAAAAGTAAAAAAAAAAAGTCTCCTTAACTTTTTAAAGTTTAGTACAATGAAATTATTATTTAAAAAAAAAATTTATTTATATTATACAACTTATTATTATTATTAATATACAGTAATTTGAATAAAAATATTTTTTTATTGATGCAAATGATGATTTTGTACAAATTTATTTATGGAGTAAAGTTTGAGAAGATCAATTTAAGGAGGAGAATAAAAAAAAGAAGTAGTGAATAAAAATAACAGTAGGGGATGAACAAAAACATTGGAAAAAATATCAGAAAGACATAGAGAGTGTCAATGAGAGAGGAAGAGGGGCAAAGGTCTTGTTGGTTTCGTTTGGCCGGTTGACCTCCTCGGGTAATAAGAATAAATGTGATTCTATTACGGGTTCAATTGTTACGACGGCGAAAAGGCTGCGCCCTCGGACAAAGAATGAAACGAACAGAAAGACAAGTGTAAAAGAAAAAGAAAAAAGATGACGAAGAGAAAGTAAGAGAGAAGAGTAAAAAAAGATGGAATGATTATACTGTAGAATATTGAGAGATAGAATCGCGGCTTCTTCTACTACGAAAACGTTTTACTTGAAGATCCTTATGATCCTTAGCCCCGTCTGAAACTCATTTCTGGCCGCATAAACGACGATTACGATCTCCCGCTTCTTATATTTGAGATATCGAAAATGCGAACATCATATAATATCGATATTCATGAATTATAATCATTTTTTTTAATTTTAAGACAAAAGTCCAAGGTAAATGCTTACTATCACAATAAATACGTCCTAAATATCTTTTACAATCTCATATTAATGATTATCATTTTTTTTTTCAAGAACCTTATTATTATTTATTTCCATTAAACATTTTTTTTACAGTCATTTTTGCAGATGCAATGAGCAATAATTTTTTTTTACACTCTACTATAAATTGTAGACGATTAAATTAATCAATCATAATCCTGTAGGATGTTAGTTTATTTGAAACGTTAATTTACATGAAAATGAGTTGGATAAAAAATGATGCTTTTTGAGTTAATTGTTGACAATTGAGTGCAACTAGAAGCTATTGATAAAATATGTATAAAATACATAAACTTACCGTGCGTTGACAGATGTTGGATTGCCCAAATCGTCCATGGGTGGCTTCCTAGAATGAAACCACGAATGAAATTCATTATTGCTCGCTTGCAATTGCATTATCGTGGAGTACGAATTGTACGTATTATAAATGTTCGCGGTTTGCCACATTCTACTGTAACTTTCGACGTCCATATTTTCCTCCCTATTTTAATTCTCTAATTTTTTTATTTATATTATTATCACATTAACTCACTTCAGTTCACTTAATGTGTCAATTATTTAATAAATAAAGACAACTTTAATAATGATAATAAAAAATACAACTGTACCATTTAAATAAAAAAAAACTAAAATAAATAAAAAGTTAATAAATTTTTTATTACAGTAATATTATTTTATTTAATTTCATTTTTTTGTTATAATAAAAAAATGTCACAAATAAATGATTATTTTTTTATAAAAATTTTGCAAAGCAAAAAAAAAGAATTAAATGCAACTTGTATAAGAGATTTTGATTTTAATGTGAAAACTCGATGGAGACGTTTTTTTTTGCACACATCCGACAAGAGAATGTCATTGAATGTAGTCGCGTGCTATCCTCGTGGCTTTGTAACCCTCATGATGATCCCCCACTACTTTAGGGGGTTGATCTTGAAATGCGCGCGTTTCGTTTTGAGATTCTATAGCTATCTCTTTTCTCGAAGTAAAGTGAGAGAGAAAGAGTTCATCCCCACTAAAGAATGTGCGCTCGCGTTGTGGAACGTGCCATGGGGGATGCTCCATCTTCATTTACGGCGTACAGCTGGGTGAGATGGGAAAGGGATAACCCCTTCCACAGACTCTAGTAAACCCCGTGGTGACAATAAAAGTCCGCGTGTCAAACTACCCTTACTGTTCCTTTGACTTTTCTTCGAGTACTATTGCGGGTGTTTCTATAGAATTTTTTATTTATCTTTTATTTTGATATTTATTTATTTAAACTTTGAAATTATCTCGTCTCACTTTATTACGATACCTACTACGCACTTATAAAATGGATATGGAATAATATTATTTTAAAAATTATTATTTCATCATTTTGGTTCACATTAATATTGGTTAAATTCATTCCTAAATTTAAAAGATAAAAAATTTGATTAAATTTTTCAAAATTATTCATTAAAGAAGTTGGTCAGTATTATGGGTTCTTTTGCTAATAATGAAATTTTTATTAAATGATGATAGGACGTGTATTTTTATCATGAAAAAAGTATAATATAATTTCAAACCTTATCTCTTTGAAAAAGAAACAGTGAAAATTATGTGGGATCAGTGAACATAATATAATTGTTTTATCATAACTGCAATGTCAGTGAATATTCCCTGATTTCACAGTCATTTTTATGATTTTCACTGGTTCATTGTAAAAGAGATTACTGTGCCATTTGTTCATTTTTAATAATTTCAGTTATTTACTCTATACACATTTATTATAACCAACGCATAATTTGTGGTTTTTAGTTATTAAAAATTAAAAAAAAAAAAGAATTATAATTTGTAGAATTATTTAAATAAAATTACTACTTTTTAATACATAAAATGTTCTTTCTACTAATTTTTTAAAATCGGTGACTAATCTTCAACGAAATTTTCAAATTCTCAGTAATTCTCTCATCCTTCTTTGAAATAAATAGTTTTTTAATTTTTTTCAGATTTTATTTATCAATAAAGATCCCAAGCCACCATACTCTAAAATCCCAATTTTCTACCGACTTTTTTCAAGCTATATAACTATCATAATAAAATTTATTCCTCAAATTTAAGTTCCTTTAACCCGATAGTTTTCAAGGAGTTAGCATTTAAAATTAAATTTTGGGCGCATGTTTTTATAACCATTACGTGATTCATTATCAAAACTTCCTTATCATTCAAGCAGATATTATAATTTCGGCGATAAATCACGTGATCACCATAAAAGTCTGAGTTACAAATTCCACTTTAAATTGGAATTTCTCAAAAACTAGGTGATCAAAGACGTTAAATTTTGAGCAACGATTTCAATCAATAGTAACAAATATAATATTTCAGTCGGTTCTCGATCATAAATTTTCGGTTCAAAAATTAAGAAAAAAAGTGTTTTATATGCATATGTGTAATAATTGTTGATTATTACAAAGAATAAAACAATAAAGTGATATGAATAATAATATGAATTCAATTATTTTTGACAGGTTATTTGAGGCGGGTTTATTGTCTCATCAATTTAATTGAATAAACATGGTCAGTTGGCGGTACACGGCTTTCTTTGTCTCCATCGTGTTTATTTCTATGGAGAACACTGCAGTGGGCGGCAGCTTTTCACAGTCGCTCAATCGTTAGCTCGTTCGGATAAAACTTGACGGATCGAGGAGTCCATGAACTCCATAAATGGAATAGCAATGATGAAAATAAAAGCCAGAGGAACAAGACACTTGGATTAATAGTCAATCCGTACTAATTGCGAGTCGCCTGCAGATCAAGAAAGAGGAATGAAAGATGGCGAAGTGAAGAAAAAAAAAATAATTGAAGAAGCAGGAGGAAAAGGTAAGAGAAAGAGAGATAAACTTCTTCTGTGTAAATTCCCTTTATTCCTCTTCTTCACAACTTCTCTTTTCTTCCTATCGATGTTTCATCAAAGTTCCAGTAACGATTAATCGAGCCTGGTAGCTTCTACAAGTGCATTCTCCATTTTTTTGTTATTTCGTATACTCATGTATACCTTCTGTTTTTATCCTCTTTTAACAAATATTTTATTTTAAAAGGTTGCAAGTAAAAAGTGTGTTCTCTAATAAACTAGTAATTAACTCGGGAGAAATGTGTATTGGATGTAAAATCATTACTTATTGATTAAAATACTTTCTGTTTCATTTACACAATCATTTTTCTTCTTAACATAAATTATATCTATTATTATTCATTTATATTTTTATTCATCATTTTTTTTATCTATTTATTTACTATTATTGCCTGATAAGATTGCACATATTAATAAACTTTTTCTCGGTAATTTCAAACTGGTTTGATGCCAGAAATAATTATAAATGAAAAAGTGTGTGATAAAATATCATCAAGTACAGCACCACCCTAATTTTAATATTAAATCCTTTTTTACAATTTATAATATATTTCAAGTAATATTGATCAATAATTACAATTAAAGACAGCCTCGAAAATTTATTATATAATTAATTCACTCGAATTATTAATTAAAATTTTTTTATAGTATTTAAAGTCATAACTTGTATTGAATCGTTGATGAATGTAATTATAATAATTGTTTTAAAGTCAGCTAATGCATTGCACTTGAGTGAATTTATGGTCTTCGAGTGAACAATAAATAATTGTATTCAGAGATCTAGTAGGAAAACGGTGTGAAAAGTACAAAAACAGAAAAATATTTTGTTTAATAGTCTTGATGTAAAAAAGAGAAAAAAAGTGAATATCGACTGTACTAAATTGAATAGGTACCCACATGGTTGCTGGGAGTGTAGCTGAAACTTGTCTTTCATTCCATTACCATTTTCGGAAAAGCAACATTTTATCCCGCGAATAAAAGGGAGAAAATAAAGGATTAAAGAACTCTCAGTACATAGGACAAAAAATTATTTGTCAATTAAAATTATAAAGTTCCGACATTATCGCCGTATACCATGGAGGCCAATCGTCGTGGGGAATATTTTTATGATGTGATAAAAGAAAAGAAAAGATACCAATATATAGGTATAAAATGATGGAAAAGGAAAAAAAGATTTGTCTTGTCGCATCACCTGCTAACTTGAAATGCACCGAAAAAAATAACTAAGTGGCTCATGTCTTTGTGATTTACCGAATTTTTTTTCACCCACCCTATATATTGCTCTTTTTATTCAACTATCTCTAACATTACTCACACGGATTTAACAATAATTTCTCGAAGAGAATTCAGAATTTGTCCAATCAGATCCAAATCAAAATAACAAACATCTAATCATATTTGATAAATGATCTTTAATGTGTGTAAATGGATACTAAAATTGTTACATAATCTTTAAGGATTTATTTCTTAAAGGAAACTATTTTCTTTCAATCCGATTTGACATTTTAATAAATTAGAAAGTGTCAATTAAAAAAAAATACATTTTAAACAATGTCAAAGATATCGATTATTGTTTCTATTTTTTAAAAATTTATTTATTTTTCTTTTTAAAATCATCAATTATTTTTTTTTTGTTGAAATAATTTTGACAAAATTAATATATACTTATAAAAAATTCAGTATAATTTTAATTATATTTTTGTTGAAATTTTGTTATCTCAGTGCATTTGTATTGTAACTGATGATATAAAATCTTAAATAGATAAATTGAAAATATTGAATAGAATTAATGAGAATATTATAACAATATTTAAATATTTTCGCACTTTATTTCTTTCTCCATCACCACATTAGTTCCCTCATAGAGTAAGTTTGTGAGTACTATACTTACTATACTATAGAGGGACTCGATCCCCTAAAGGCGAATCGACTTTAATAACGAGTCCGACTTCCGACTCGACACGGCCTAACTGGGCTCGTTCGCGTCTTTTGCCGTCCAACATTGCGCCGATGCTGTTTATGGCTCTTCATAACGCCCCATAAATCAGTCCCCTCTTAGCACAACGTAAGTTTGAGTATTTTTTTTTCTTCTTTTTTTTTCTCACCAAAATTGAAGCTTTTAGTAAGTGAAAATTAAAAAAATTCAATTTTACTTTATAAGAGGCAAAAAGATGTAAATTACTACTTGAAGTAGTTAATAATTTATAGTTCACTGTCTTACAAATACACTGAGATGTATATTCAAGTTGCCTCAGGGAGTTTGTTTCATTCAACCGGTGGCTCGACTCGCCCACTCATTCGTTCATTCATACACGTGCCACGCGATTTAAATCGATAAACGAAAACTTGAAGAATACAAATGCTATTTTTTCTCTCCTTTTTTTTTACTCATTTATTCTTTTTTTATTAGTTAACAGAAAAACTAATATTTAAATGATTTATTTTTCAAACTTTACTAATTTCTTTTTAAATAATTATAATTATTATTAATATTAATTAGAAATGAAATTATGAAAAATAATTGTAGTAAATGTATTTTTAAAGCTACAAAAATTGCATGCAGAATTGGAAATAAAATTACAGCAGATGATGGAACGTATACTCATCAGACATGCAGTAATGCATATAACGCACCCAACAAGACGAAAATTATCTGAGGAATTTTTTAATCATCATCATTATGGTGATTTTTACAATGTGAAAAACGATTTAAAGTACAATAAATTGAAAAGGAAAAAATTCAATAGCAAAAAGAATCTCAGAAATTCTTTCAAATGTAGTTTTTGTACTTATTTTTAACAAAAGAATTATATTGTGATCATCAGTTGCTTTTAAAAACTGGCAAGAAACAATTTTTAAAAATATTTATCATCATTTTGCATTTATTGTATTCCTTCAATTTAATTGATTCGTACTTGATTTAAAACTGCAAATAAAAAAAAATCCATTTATTAGTGAAAAAAAAAATTCACGTACCTATCAGTCCAGCAGAGAGCTTCATCACGATACCTGTAAAAAGATTCAATTCAATTTTAATGAATATCAATGAATGAAAAATAATTAAAAATAATAAGATATCATTTTATTAAAATGAAATTTTTATCAGTATGTATGAGATTTAAAGTAAAAAAATAATAATAATAGAAAAGAAAAATAATCAGATGAAATTCTTTGGTCAGGATTTCTTCAGAATCAAAATCCGTGTCGCGGCTTACAGGAAAAAGCTTTTACATGAAAGCTCCACTCAATGAATAAGATCGTCGTCGTAAATTGTGCGCCAAGGCTAATCTCGCGCTTGAGCGAGTGCCCCTATACTTTTTCTTCACCCTCTTTCATTTATTATTTTTTATTTTTTTCCTGGTCAATTTACAATAACTGAAAAAATACAAATTTATCCAGCCTTTCACATATGAATATTTTTTTTTCAAGTTCAATAATATAAACATAAAATTGTAGTAACAAATTTATTGAATTTTATACGAAATTGCAGTATTTCTAAGCAAAAATATTTCCCTATTAAAAATTTACATGGGAATTATTTATTTTTTTTGAATTTTTAAATCAATATTAATAATTGATGAATTCTAATAAAAGCTTAATAAATCAAAAGCTTTTTTTTAATTTTATAAATATGAAATAATCTAGATTTCCGCATATTTAAATTTTTTTTTTGAATTCAATAAAACACTGATAAAATAGAGCAAGAGAGTGGAATGAATTTTAAAGTTGGAAAAAATAATTTCAACAACTATTTGCTATGGTATTAATTGGAAACGTGATAAAATGTATAACTACTGGAAAGCTGTCATTGGTACATGATTTAAAGCCAAATATTACGACAAAATCGGCATTCCTTAGTGCTCTTGATCTTTGAAAGTGGAGGAATGGTGCGTAAAAGACTGAGGGTGTCATAGAACACGTGGAGATACGTCTAGAGTGGAGTTTATTACCAACAAGGATACCGAAATAGCTTGGTCGAGGGTTGTGGAACATTGATTTAATGCAGAAGTAATTGGTCGAGCTTGGACGTCTCTATGTACTTGATTCTATACTAAATGTGAGTAAACACCAAGGAAAAGTTCTAATACCCCTAAATTGGAAAGACTGGAGTAATATTGGATACTCAGAACCAACCACTCAAAAAAAAAAATATTTCCAGTTAATCAATTAACTAACCATTTTCATCAATTCTTCATTTTCTAAGTTTTAAATATTTATTTCAATCCAAGAACAATCAAGAACCATTATTAAAATAATTCAAAGAGATATTTCTTTTATTTCTCTAGTTTAAAATATACAATTGTCTTGATATACATGAAAATATTGTCCATAAAGATGAAAATACAAAAATATTCAATAAAGCAGTGATAAGTGGGTACTTTGGTGGTATCATAACTGATAAGAATAAAAAAAAATCAATTGAAAAATGTACGAATTTTCAAGAAGATGATATTTGTAAAATACCACATATGCCACATCTGTTTTCTTGGTGTCCTTAGAACCTCTCCTGTTGTCTTCCTCCAACAACCTACCACTTCTACCAGCTATGCTGATACCTCTCGATGTAAAGTTAAACTTTAGAATAACACCGGGTGTACGAAATGTCTGAAAATGCCTTATGATATCTATAAGCTTGTAACTATCAATGTAGCATGAAAGGAATTTCAAAGTTGGGAAAATTCCAGATCACGAAACGAAAAAAAAAGAAAAATCGAACGTGCAAGTCAACGTAATGACTAAGCAATATGTGTACCAGCATAATAAAAAGTGTGATTCGATTTTTGAGTGTGTCACAAAGTTGTTAAACAGTATGGGGTTTAAATGAGAGGGTGAGAAGTAAGTGAGAAACGAAAGATACAAATTGCATTCTGATGAATTTTTTTCAAGTTTTTTTCAATGAAAAAAAAATTGTCAAGAGATTTACGATAAAATGTATGTAAGTAAAGAGAGAAAAAAAAACAACAAAACATGTGCATTGACATTACATTTTTAATCGTACAAAGTATACTTTCAAGAATCAATTGATCCAAAGAATCCGTTTATCGGCATCAGAGTCCACCGATTTCTCGAGGGCAATATAAAAACTTTGATCTCTTTTCTTCTCTTATTCTTTTACTGCGTATCGTCTTCCTATACTTGATTCCCTTCCCTTTACCTTCTCTTGCCCCCATCCACAGAATGTTCTTTTGATTCGACAACGACGGCGGTCACTGATCCTCTTCAAATGGTCCACCGAAGCTGCTGTGTGGCATAGCTGGCGCATTATCACATAAGTTATAAGTTTTTTCTCGCACGTTCCTCGTAATTCTTTTACTCTATAATACTTTTATTCTTATCTTTACTGCATGCTACGATATATTTCATTAAAAAAATTCCTATTGATCAAATTTTTTTCTCACCCTTAAATAAATGAACATCAATCAACTTTGTATACTACTAGTAATAACTAAAAAAAATATCTTATAAACTCTCGACTTTTCTTCTTGTCAACAAATGTGTGTATAAGTACATTTATTTAGTGTGTAAATGAATAGATAATAAATGTGAGATTAATTAAAAGAAACAGTAGTGAACAAGCTATTGAAAGTGATTAAGTTCTATGAGTTCTTAAACACGTGGTCTGATGTAGTCTGAAAAGGAAGAATGTGAACCGCGATAGAGGATAAAGGAAAGAGAGTGGGATACATACAGAAGCAGACAAAGTGGCGCCAGTGATGGGCACCTACTGGCCAATAAATCTACACACGTCTCATTACTAAGCTTGTCTTCTTTAATTGAAATCTCGTGTTTTTCCAAATAACGTGTCGATTCATCTCTTCTTACAATTAAAAAAATTTTTATTTTTTTCCCCACTCCTATCCTGCACACTAAACACTTCTTTCTCCAACCAAAAAAAACAAACATGCCAATTATTTTTCATTAATTAACTCCATTTTATTAAAATGATTGGATAATAATCATTCAGGACTTGATTTATTAAAAAATTCCTAGTTTTATAGCTTTTTGCTCTTTTTGTTGGACTCTTTGTTTTTCATTGGTCATTTAACTTTTTTTTTTTTTTTATTAAAACAACGAGGCTATATAAAGTAACTCTGTCCGGTTTAAATGACACAGAAGACACCACGAACAAGTGAGTTATACGTATATAGAAGATATACTCAAGAGCACTCTGGTGGACGCATCATGTGATTGTCAGGACAAGAGAAAGTTCACAGGATTAAAAAAAAAAATTACAATTACAGTCATTCAAGTTAAATATTTCTTCTACACGTCATATATCCTTGGTGGGTTTTTTTGTTTTAATCTTAAAAGCTCCAAAAATTGACAAATGGATCATTAACTGACTTGACAACAAAATTAAACTCTTGATTGATTTTAAAATTCAGATAAAAATGGTTTAAAAGTGTAATATTTTAAATGGTGGTTTTACAAGATAATGTATACAAAATGAAGAGTTGATGAGTGCGAGAAAGTTCGGGTGCAGCAATAACAATCTGACGACGACGCAGACGTAAGATGAGATCGCTACTCCTGCTACTCTTTCTGGTTTCTTGTTTCTTCATGGTGAACATTGTTGATCCTCCAGGGTACCAGTAAAAAACATGAACGATACGAATCACCCGACCCCGAACGATTAGCTTCGGGCTACCGGTAGTTCAGAGTCTCTTGTTGATGATTCCGACGCTTATTGTATCGTGTAATTTTTATTGAACATCCTGTACTTCAGCTTTTATATATTGGTATGAAAATTCTTTCACTTTTTTTCATTAGTACAGTCAATTTTAGGTGTAGTTAATTTTTTCTCCTACATGACCAAATTTTTAATAACAACATATTATAATTACTCTGTATGTCACAATGATTATGACATGTCCTGATAAAAATTAAATTAAGAAGCTGTCTGTAAGACTTGTTTCATTTCCAGCTTAACCACTAGCTACATCATCATCATCATCAGCATCAACTTGATAATTTTTTTACAAAGCTGTTGTTGTCTATATAAAAGGTAGCTCAACAAGTCCATGAATTCTTATTAAAACTCAAGAACATGATCTTATGAATAATACACGTACAATTAGCTTCAACGTTTCCAATTTAATCGACGAATTATCAACCCTTGAGGGAACAAATGCTAGAGGGACTTGACTTCTTCTCCCTTTATTTCCTCAACTTCTGGTATAATGACAATCGTTGAATGGTGATATAAACTGTAAAAAAAAGTCAGCAGGAAAATGACAAAGATAAAAGTTTACAAAGAGACAAATAACATATACAACAGGCGACGTAGTTTTGCACGAGTACCACGTAGCTTCACAGCGGGATAGCGTGATGAGACGTATTTATGAACGTTCACATGGAGAACGAAGGCACGAGCTGCTGGAATTAAGTAACTAACTGCTTCCTCAATGCTTGTATTTGTAATGTTAAAATACGAGAATAACAGTTGTTATTATTGTTAAATAATGTATATACACAATCAAAAATAATAATAGGAATACATATGTTCTTAATGATTTATTGAAATTGTTCTTGCCAACTTCAAAAAAGTTATACTTGACAAGAAAATAAATGTTTTTACGAATAATGATTTCATTAGTTCTCAAACATGGTCTGAAGGTTTGTTAAGGTATAGGAACATCATGTCAGAAAACCAAGCAGGAAAGAGGAGCTAATCGACAGCAATTCTATATAGGATCTGAAATGATGAAAAGATCGCCCACACTGCTACTTGACCTCTCTATACGCCTCCATAAGTTCGTATACAGTTAACCTTATCAAATTGACTCCCGACCTAATTCTCTTTTTTTTCTTCTTTTTTTTACTCAGAAAGAATGTGTAGCAGCATCATATTTTTTGGCAAATAACCATTGACAGAAAGTAGCAGTCATGAATTTCATTGATATATTTATCTTTATTATGGTTGAAATTCTTAGAAAGTTTATTCATTAGGATTTTGCATCATTTGTCATGTGTATCTGTATATTTCATTGAAGAATCAGAGCTTTGGA